AAACCTCAGTTCAGTATAACATGTATACTGTGATGAAGTTGTATTAAGACTATTGTTAATAATGTCAGWATATTTAGTTAGAACCTTATGCTTATCTTTGAAAGTAATTTTTTTTATCTAGGTCTTTCATTAAGTTATAAGCAAATTTAAACTGGTACTTTTTTGCTAATGTCAAGGTAATATTTTTTCTAGAAGTAGTTGATCTTGCATACATCTTTAATTCTCTGTGTTTACCTTCAAAACGAAAGCACCAGTGATGCCTAGGAGGGCCAGAATTTTGAATTATTGTTGGATAATGGACTAAAAAGTGATGTTTTGRTTTTAAGTTATCATTGAAAACAGTTATATACAACAAATTATGTTGGGAAATTAATTGTTTYAGATATGAAATTGCATTCTCAGTAAAAGTGTATGATAACAGAATATCTGTAATTTTAAGTAATAACCGAAAAAGCTCCCAAACTTCATCAGATTCCGGTATTAAATCTGCTATCATCAAAGGAAAAAAGTCATGACTTCCCTGGCTGACATTTTTAAATGTTTTTTTTTTTTTAAATGGAGGGCTGTTATAGGAGGTGAAATATTACCTATCTCTATTTGCCCATAATTGAAATTCATTTTTCGACTATTCAATGTTTCTAAGGAAAATAGTTTTGCGGTATCAACATAATATTTTATAATATGACATAAATCATAATGGCAAACCCCTTCAAATAAATCATGCATTATATCAATACAATAATTTTCAGTTGCATGAAAACTAGTTATTTGATTTAAAAACGAATCTTTATAAATACCAGTTTCAGCAAAATTCATAGTATCAACATCTTCAGAATAATTTTGAACATTACGTAAACAATTCAAGTCTTCTTCATGCATAACCCAAGTAGCAGCCTTATCTGCTTTACAAAAGCGACAGAAGAATTTCGCTGAAAACGATTTACTAAACTCCAATACACTATTAAGTCCCAAATTATTTACTAATATTATTCCCAAAATAAAGTATACATGAAAAATACCCTCTTGTGTTACAATATCTATTCCTTCCTTTTCAAGCATATTAATTTAATTTACCAAACCATGTAAACATTGATCATTTCCAAATAATTTTAGATCAACATGCTTTATTAATGCAGCTAAATATATATTAGATAATTTTGAACTATTATCTTCTAGGGGAAAGCTATAATAAAATGCAGAAACAGAGTGAAAATTAGAATGCGAACCTAAAGAATTATTAATTTCAAATTCATCTGTATATAAAAAAAAAGGAATACATATTTTGTTAGGTTGAAAACCTTTTTTTTTCCAGACATTTCCTTGGACAAAATTTTCCATTGATATACTTTCATTGTTTTTATACAAATTTAATTTAGTATACTGTTTTTTAAAATTATCACCTTGTTCAAAATATTTTTTAAATTGGAACTTTAAAGAAAAAAGAGCTCCTGTAGTGTTTTTTTCATCATATACACTTTCACCGACATATTGAACAGGACAAATTTCTTTATTTATAGTAATTTGATTAATATTACATAAGAAATCATTTTTTTTAACCAATCTATTAAACGATATTCAGAATTACAATATTGAAAAGTATTTTCTATAACTGAAGTTACTCTATGAAATTTACCACGTGAAATAGGTTCTTTAATTTCGTCATCGATTACTGCTTTTAACATAGATACGAGACAACTGAAGCAATAATTGAATCTACTATTCCAGTTTGAATTGATATAATATCCACTCTAGTAAAATTGTTATTGTTGTGCAAACCAACTATAAACTCAATTGCAGACTTATATATAGCTTCACTAAATATATCAAGATTGAATGGAATTGTATTAACAGGAATTTCAGGTAAAATATTATGGATATTAGCACTTTCTGTACATTGAAATAATAGTGGAGAGTTAGTAGAAGATGGTTGTTCTGGTTCAGGTTCTAATAGAGTTGTTAAATGCTTTTTATGAAGGTGTCTTTTAAATGTAGCCAAGTTAAGAAAAGACTGTGTACAAGTTTCTTCACATCATGTATAATTGCTATCATATTTTAACAAATGGAAAATTTTAAAATGATACACTAACCATTTTCAACTATCAGTATTAAATTTACATACATAACAAATCATTTTAAAATATTATAGGTATAGCAATTGACAATAGGTAGTGTCAATAACTTACTCTAACTTACATACAAATTAAAGGAAACTTTTTCACAACTGCTTCAGAATATTTATAGAATATCTTTAAATATAAAATTAATCTGTGTTAATTATAAMGCTGTGTCCTAACTGAATCCGTGCGTTGCGTTTATACGTTCGCCCGCAACGCAACGTATTGTTGGCAAAATTAACGTCGGTGAATTCATACGTGCAATATAGGTTGAGAACTTATAAAATTTATAAAATTACAGTACAGTCGTAAAGATGCCGTTAATCACCGAACAACGTGTAAAATGTTACTCTCCGAAAGTTTGGCTGTTAAACTTTTTTTTTTGAATAAAAAACGTAAACGTAATCCGGTACACCAAATATATAAAGATAGATTTGAATTTGGCGAGTTTCATCATTTGTATAYACAGTTACGTGCTGATGATAATTTATTCCGTTCTTATACACGAATGACTACAGGAACTTTTGACTACATAAAAGAGGCAATTGAACATGAATGTTATCATATAACAACTAACTTTAAAGTACCAATTTCTGTAGAAGAGAGACTACTTATTACTTTAAGGTAAGCATATATTATTTTAATCAATAACAAATTAATATTAATAATTTTTATATATTAACAATAACATAATATATTAAAATTAAATTTATAATGTTATAATTTAATAAAATAATAAGATTTCTGTGTTGTATACTGAGTATACTATAATATTAAMATTAAAAGTGGTAAAATAAAAAAACAACTCCTTTTAACTTTWAAAATAACAAATTATAAAAATAACTAAAATGAATATAATGATAGTAGAAACATTTTAATTTTAAATATTTGAATGTGTGTCGTCTAAATACTGGAAATTCGGTAAAGTTGATGGCATGGAACTGTATGTTGGATGTACYGTAGCTGATGGAGGAATATAATTTTGATTATGAGAGTTTGCTGCGCCCAAGTATTGTTGTGGAGGTAAACTTTCACGTATCAAAATATTTTGAATGTCGTTTCTTACGCGTAATTTTTGAATGGGGCTCATATTTTTAAAATAAGGAAGAATAGATTTWAAAAAATGCATATCTTCATCATCTGGAGTTTCAGGTGGTTCGGGTTAATGCAGCTAGTTTTCTGGTTTCGAGATCGATCAACTGTTGTTCGAAATTACGGCTTGTGTCTTGTTTTTTTGTTCTTTTAATTTTTTTTTGTGTTGTAAATGAWGTCGATGGAGGTGATGAAATGTTGTAACTTGATGTAGATGCCTGATCAATGTCATCCATTTCATCTGGTTCCTCGCTCTCTTCATCAATATCAACATTTACATCAGAAACATTTCCGTCGCTTTCCCTTGGAACGGCAGTATCATTTAAAAACAGCATTGCGTTGAAATAGCCCCATTTGCCTTTATATAGCGCAGCATACTCCTGACTACTACCAGAACGACTAGTAGGAATTTTTTTTATTTCTTTTAAAAATTGATCGCGAAGACTCCTCCACTTTTTTTTAGCGTCGTCTTCTATGAAAATTAAATTTTAAAAAACATAACCATATTGCATACGAGCCTGCAATGAAGTACCACAWTTTATGTCTTTATGGCACGTGATGAATTTTATAACATTAATTATGTTATTGTAAAATTTACTATAAATTTGTTATTGTTTGGTTGTCATGGCAACGGTAATGCTTTTTCGTTACAGGTTTTTTATTTTAATGTGCCAAAGCCAAAGACATAAAATGTCAATATTGTACAAAATATATAARCCAATTATTTTACTTAAAATTATTCAATTCAATTTAATAATAATAATACCTAATTATAATCTAAATACGTGGATGGTGTTAAATTTGAATTCAATGATGTAATATCATTGTATTATGTATACGAAAAACGATTCTGAGCGAATACGGTACCTATGMCAGACTATAATATTACTATAGGTAGGTAGGCATTTTTTATGATATTATTGTAAGTAAATAGTATATTTTTCAACTGCTATTGTAGCAATATATCAGGAGCCTTATATAATATGTTCACACTTTTTGACCCAACAGAACAAAAAACTCAAAAAATTGAAATTTTATTAAAAATTCCATAAACAGATTGAAAAGAGTCAAAATATTTTGAAAATTTTATCAAATTTAGAAAATATTAATATAAACATTTAGAGTTACACTAAAAACCAAAGTCAATATTGTCGAAAACCGATAATTTTCGTTTTTCCTTAATTTTTATTTTTATTTTCCCTGCACTTTTGAAAATTATTGGGAATTTTTTTATTTTTACTTCCCCAAGCACCAACTAGATTCACTTTTCCAACTTATTTTTTATTTATTTTTGCCAATTTCCAATTACCAGACTTCATTTTTCATGTTTTCGCTCAGAATCATTTATCGTATACTATTTATATCATTGAATTTAAGTGAATTCAAAAATTCTCATTAGTTTCGTTAAGTAAAGTTGACAATAAATTCGTAAAAAACATTTTAAATTTAAATAAAAAAGTTTATTATTTTTCAAATTAATGAGTCTTAGAAAAATTATGAACTGTAATTTTTAGTATTAAAAATAAAAATAAAAATGTTATATATATTGTATTATGTTATTGTAACAATAGTCAATAAATTAAAATATATAAAAAAAATAAATATAAATACTGCAACACTTCACAACATTAAAACAATATTTACGTTGTATACATTTAAAATTTTTTATTTTTTTTTCAACACAGATATCTTGCTACTGGTTTAGCTTTTAGACAAATTGCTTTAACATTCAGGATTTCAAAAACAGCAGTTTCTTCAATTGTTATTGAAGTTTGTAAAGCAATTTGGAAGATAATGAAAGAAAAGCATATGCCCACACCATCGATTGCTGATTTTGAAAATATTGCACAAGAGTTCTATGAAAATTGGAATTTTCCAAATTGTGTTGGAAGTTTAGACGGAAAACATATCCGTATGAAATGTCCGAAAAACTCCGGTAGTATGTTTTTCAATTATAAACAGGTTTTTTCTATTGTTTTAATGGCTGTGGCAGACGCAAATTATAAATTTATTATGATTGATGTCGGAGCTTATGGGAAAGATAGCGATGGAGGTATATTATCTAATTCCAATATTTTAAAACGACTTGAAAATAAAACTTTGAAACTACCCTATCCTAAAAAACTACCAWATTCAAATGTAACTGGTCCATATACTTTCATTGMTGATGAAGCATTTCCTTTGCGAACATACATGATGCGACCATACCCAAGRAGGTTATTGAACGATGAAAATAAAAGTTACTTCAACTATAGACTTTCCAGAGCACGAATGACAATAGAATGTGCTTTCGGTATAGCAGCAGCAAAATTTAGAATTTTGCAGAAGTCAATAGAGACAAAAGTGGAAAACGCTGACCACATTGTAAAAGCAATATGTATGCTGCACAATGTATGTATCGATTTGGAAAAGATAAGAGTTACAGAAAATTATAATATRCACTCAGATATATCAAGTCAAATAAATAATTTATCCGGCGATTTAACCGTAAGTAAGAGAAATAACAAAACATCCAGAGCAGCAGAAAATGTAAGAAATAACCTAAGTATTTTTTTTTCCAATAATAAATTGTAAATATTTTACTATTGATATTTGACTATATTATATTACAACTTAATTATTCTATAATATTATGTTCTATTTCTTGTATTAGCTTGTATCCAGTATTTTATATTATAACTTAAGTTTAATTTAAAATTAGTTTAGTTTAAATTACTTGATATTCCTAGTTCTTTGGCTACAGAATCCCACTGCCTATTTGTTACTACGCGATCTTTGTATTTAGGTTTCCTTTTATCCCAAAGTTCCGGCCTTTTTTGTACTTCAGAAATAAGAAGCTCCATTTTGTACCTAATTAATACAATTAATGTAATTAATTAATACAATTATAAAAATTCAAATAAACGAATGTGTACAATTTAGTCTTGACCACACAACGTTGCGTTGGAAAATAGAACATGTTCTTTTTTGTGCGGTGCGTTAAAACGCATCGCACGCATGTTACGACCAATTAGGACATGTCTGTACTTTGTTGCAGTTTGTTTTATTTGCGTGCACGCATCGCCTGCAATACACGCAACGCACGCACGCAACGGATTCAGTTAGGACACAGCGTAATAATTAAGMCTTATACCTGAAAATTATAATTTATAACAAATAGTGGTGCATACTAGCTATAACTAAAAAATATTAAGATGTTAACTCTTGGTGAAACATACACCTATTATAAAGATGTTTAGCAAAGTCTAGTTGCACCACTGACAATAAAAGTAAACAAAAATGTACAAAGACTTACCAGTAAGCATATAATATACCTAAGTTTGTAACTTATAAGTTGAGTATAGCCAGTACAGGATCTTGCATTGCAGGTGTTGACAGCAATATCAGAAAAAAAATATAACACGACAGATCACAGAAAATAATATTCAAAATAAATAGCACAATAAACAATGATGATTCAAGTTTGTGATCCAATTCAATATTATTCTTAGTCTGTGCATCCAATGCGCCCATGCAATTACGCGTATGCCGTACGTTAACTTCCGTAATTTTCAGTACAACAATATTATTAAATATTATATTGATTAATAAATAATAAATAATAATATTTAATATATATCCAGCCAGGTTTACCCACGAGTCACAACTCACGACTCGTGAAGTCATGAGAAAATGTTGGTCGCCACTAGGCGTCTAGGCGGCAACATTTATAATAGTCAATTGTTAATTTGGTAATATAATTGTCACGATGATAATGTTGCCGACGAACCTTGGGTTATTTCAGAAAACCCATAGTTATAAATAGTTATAAGTACAAAAAATATAACATAGATGATAATATTGGTATTGTCATTTTAATAATAACTTATCAATTTAGGGCCGTTCTTACAATGTCCGGTTAAGTGTCGGTTAAGACTAACCGGTAGAATTCTATCGGTTAACTCATGATAAATTCTTCCGGTTAGTGTTATCAGGCACTAACCGAGCATTGTAAGAATGGCCCTAAATATATTTTTTGCCAACAACATTGATAATATATATACTTATCATGATAAAACAATTATAAATTTAACAAATATATTGTTTGAATGACATAACATTATTATGATGACAAATTTAAATATTGTTAAAGTTTAATGAGACAGAATTGTCAATGAAGTTCAAGATTTTTTTTCAGTGCAAAATAAATTCTGTAAAAACAAAATCCAGAAACAAATTAACAAATTAATAACTAGCATGGTATCGGCAACAGTAATTTCAAGCGAATCAATAAATATATAGAAAATTGCATTAGTTTAAAACCTATTAAAAATATGCTTGCAAGGACATCATTCAATCTATACCCAATTGCAGCAGATATGACTCAAAATACTAGTTGCAAAGAATTTGTTATTGAAGACTAATTTTAATTTGTATCATAATTCATATATCTAGTCAGTAGTCAGTACAAATTAAAACAAGTATATATTTTATTTATAATTATTAATATAATATATTTTGTTGTGGATATGAACTATTTAAACATTTTTGCATTTTATTTTACACTTAATCTGGTGAATGTTTATTTTATATTATACACGTTGTTGAATTTATTAACTATTTAACGTTTATTTAATTGTATACATTTTGTTGTGTATATGAACTATTTAAACATTTTTGCATTTTATTTTACACTTAATCTGGTGAATGTTTATTTTATATTATACACGTTGTTGAATTTATTAACTATTTAACGTTTATTTAATTGTATACATTTTGTTGTGTATATGAACTATTTAAACATTATTGCATTTTATTTTACACCTAATGTGATGGATGTTTTTTTATATTATACACTGTATGTTTATATATATATATTTTGTTAGTATCAAATATTAAAATTATCTTTGAATTGTTGTTTTTAATATTTATTTAAATTGAAAACATTTCCAATATTTGAAACGTTTACAGCTTTCAAGAATATAATTTGTATAATTCGAGTAAATAGTAATAAAAAAAACTAAAAAGCTCCTTAGTTGTTGATTTTTATTATCAATAATAATTACCCACGACATGAATACAATTTTTATGTACGGTTAATGTATCAGAAATACGGTAGGTAATACTGGTTACACTGTACGGTTTAATCATTATTAAATTCTGGTAACGCTGCCGTCGACACCGCGGAGCTAATTCATTTGGATGCGCGAGCGAGAAGTACTCTCTCCTGGGTCATAGTATTACAATAGAACCTCGATTATCCGAACTATAATTAGCGTATCCGAACATGAAAATTCGTATCCGGCCGGTCGGCCGGTTTATCAAATTTATCATAACAATCGTTTTTGGATTATTATTAGTACAGGTTAACTATGTATTTTACGTGCGTCAATCATTAGTAGATAACCAAAACGAAACGGGCTTATCTAAACGATGGGGTTTCATCGATTCCGCCAGACCTTTTTAAACTTGGGGATAAGGTTTATCGATTCCGCCAGCATCAATTCTGCCAGTGCAGGTAGTCTAAAAACAACCTATCCATTTTATTTATTTAACTATGCATATTGTATTACATATACATATGCAAATCATTATATTTAAAAAAAAAAAACGGAAAATTTGGCATTCGCGAAGCTTATGTCGGGACAACTGGACACTGGACAGACGTTTGAAGTACAATGTTTTCCCGTACAGTAATTTTTTGGGTACAGAGAGTTTCGCACAAATTCACACTAATGGCGCACTAATGTTTGGGGAAAAAAAATTTAAAAATTGTAATTTTTCCATGAGGGGGAGGGCTGGGGAAATGCCAAAATCGAAAAATTAAATTATTCGGGTACAGCGGGTTTCGCACAAATTCTTGAAATACTCGCACAAATTCACACTAATGGCGCACTAATGTTTGGGGGAAAAAAAGTTTAAAAATTTTAATTTTTTCCACTTAAGACATTTTCTTATATTGTGTTATTGAAAAAAAAAACTAGATACTTATATTATAAGTGCCATTAAACTAGAATTTTTGTATTGCAATAAAAAAAACCCCACATATTGATTTGCTATGTATTATTATAATAAGATACTACTATTACTATATCTGTGATTTTTTTTTTAAATGTATTGAGGACCAACATCAAATACAAAACTGTACCAGAAAAAGATATTGATAATGATATAGGAACATGGCTAGCTCATGCACATTTTAGGCGTGTTAAAAAATTAAACAAAACTATTTAATATGTACCTATTAATAATTATATATATATAGCTAGATACTACTACCATAATTATTTATTAAGAGATTGTTCTTAAAAAAAAATTATATTACATATAGTTACACATTATTGACCAAGGGAGTCAATTTTAAATAAAGTAAAATCAATAAATAAGAAATATTTGTTCATTATTAATTATTRTCCCGACATCCTTCCTGATATATCTTATTGTACTAAATAAGTCTCTTCATATTTTTAAAACAACCGAAGTATAATATCATAAATATGTTTCTTAAAAGATTAATGCCCGGTTGCATAAAAGATCGTTAAATGTATAACGGACCGTTAGCGGCTTTAACGAATCGCTAAAAAAATTTCGTTGCATAAACGATCTTTTAATATTTGACGGCCCGTTAAATTTTAGTTTRACGGTCCATTAGCTAATCACCCAATATCGGATCGCTAAACTTTAAAGGCTCGTTAAAACGTGTTATCTGTAATTAATTTATCTATACATTTTATGATAACTGAT